ATAAAGTGGAATCTACTTTAATAAAACAAACAATACTTTATCAATTATTTTGTGAAACAATAGACAACTCATATAAAGTGGCAAAGTTCTTAGATCTTAGGTGATCCTTGCGAATCATTAGGTTCCCAGATTTGCTGCCACAGCTGGTTCGTCCGAATCTTCAGAGATTGATGGTAGTCATAGTGTTTTCCACTAAGGCATATTTTCCTTTTTCTCTATTTTCTTTTCTTCATTGAGTTGTTGTTGAAGCTTTTCAAGATTCTTAGGGTCGAAATGGTCAAATGAGTAAACCCATGGATCTTAAGACTCTTGGAATTGAGACATTGTAAGTTCTGGCTGGCTTGTTGGTGCTTGCTGGCTTCTGCTTGTTCCTTCTTATATTATCTTTTCTTTCTCTTTTTTCCTTGTGAGATGTGGGTTTTATCATCTTGTGTGGAGAGTAGTTCAAAGGACATTTTCGTTTAACATTTTCCAAAGTTTTTCTTAGAGTTGTTGTCCCTCAAGAGTGTCTTCTAAGTACTTAGCTGTCTGTCCTAAGCTTTGTGTTGGTCGTCCCAAATACAATTGATTCCAACAATTGTCAAAATGATAATCTTCAGGTGGAATGACTAGATACCAGTTGTGAATTTAGCTTAAGCTCTCCATATAAGCCTGAATGTCATATTGAATCCTTCGAGCGTAATCTAATGGAAGAGTTTCGCATGAAGCATCATCTTCAATCCTAGGCCAAATTTTTGGAAGCATTGTTTGATTAATTTCTACCATTTTTCTCTGGAATGTCCTGAATTCTTGAGGATATGTTTCCCACTCTCTGTGAAGATTGAACGAATGTTTTATTTGTGGCAAAAAGGGAACTAATTGACTGATATGGAATCCCAAGCCCTTTTTCCTTCCAACACAAATTGGCCATCCTCCTCATCAGCACAATCCTCAACATACCACCTAACCACCTCAGAAAAAACACCAATATATGGAATTGCCTCTTTATCACACCTGAAGAACAGGAAAGAAAGATGTGGCCACCCAAAGTTACAAAAAAACAATTAGGGATGGCAATTCGCATAGTTAAAATCGAAAACCGTGGTTAACCGAACTGAATGGGGCGAAAAAACCGAACCGATGGTGCAATGAGGCGGTTATGGTTTTGATTTTAATGAATCGCTTCATTTGGGGGCGGGTATGGTATTTAGCGATAGTGCCCCACCCCGAACCGATTACCCGTTAAAAAAAATTAATTGGGCAATTTTGATGTTCCATGCGAAACTCTTTCATCGAAGATGATGGTGCCCCGCCTCGAAGATGATGCTCCATGGGAAACTTTTCCAATAGATTATGCTCAAAGGATTCAATATGACATTCAGGCTCATATGGAGAGCTTAAGCTAAATTCACAACTGGTATCTAGTCATTCCACCTAAAGATTATCATTTTGACAATTGTTGGAACCAATTGTATTTGGGACAACCAATACAGAGCTTGAGACAGACAGTTAAGTATTCAAAAGACACTCATGAAGGACAATAACTCAACAAAAACTTTAAAAAATATTAAATAAAACTATCCTTTGTACCACTCTCCACACAGGACGAGAAAATCTACGTCTCACAAGGAAAAGAGAGAAAGAAAAGATACTACAAGAAGGAACAAAATCAAGCCAGCAAGCACCAACAAGCTAGCCAGAACCTACAATTTCTCAACTTCTAGAGTCTCAAGATCCATGGGCTTACTCTTTTGATCCTTTTGACCCTGACAATCTTGTAACGTTTCAACAACAACTCAATGAAGAGAAGGAAAGAGACAAAAAGGAAATTATGCTTTGTTGGAAAATACTAGGACTACCTCCGACTCTGAAGATCCGGACGAACTAGCTATGGCAGAAAATCTATGAACCCCATGATTCGTAAGGATTTCCTAAGATTTAAGAACTTTGTCACTTTGTTTGATTTGTTTGTCGTTTTACAAAATAATTGATAAAGTACTATTTGCTTTATTAAAGTAGATTCCTCTTTATCAAAAGTTGTGTGTCCACTTGTGTAATAATTGTACTAGAGTCATGTATGCTTTTAAAAAGTTGTATATCCATTTATCTAATTATTATGCTGGTTCATGTTATTGTGTCGGTTGGTCTAAAAGTAGAAGGAACCTCTTCCTCTATAAAAGGGTTCTCATCCTCTATTGTATGATCATTGAAAAATTAAAAATAAAATCTTGAGTTCCATAAAGATCGCGAGTTTCTAAATTTTTCCTATTTCTCACTAGGATCCAACATATTAATATTAGTTTTAACAATCATGATAAGCTAACAATATGAGCAGTTACAGAAGTATGCGCTGCTATTACCTCTTTTGAGGATTCTTAGTATCAAAAATTGTGCTGCAGACAGAGAGATTTGAAATCATAAGAGTCTGGCCTGTATTTGTTCTACTCAAACCTGGCTGTTCTTCGGACTAGATACCTAGGTTTCACTTCTCTCTAGTTAGTATCAGAGCCATGTATTCTATCCTATGTAACAGCCATTTATTCTAGCATAGGTAACAACCATGTACTTTGCCTCTATTGTAGACAATGCTACTGTATTTTGCAAAGTAACTTTCCAACTAATAGTGTAGCCTACAATCGTAAACACATATCCCTGAGTGATCTCCTCTTATCAAGATCTACTGCATAATTTGAATCCATATACCCAATGACTCCATCTGTATTCCTATCAAATGCAAAGAAGTATTAGCAGAGCCCCTCAAGTATCTGAATACCTATTACACTACTTTCTAATGTTCATTGTCAGGATTTTTCATGCTGCTAACTACGCTAAATGTATGTGCCAAATATGGGTGTGTACAAACCATATCATACATAAGCAATCCCACTACACTTGAATAAGGAGCTCGAGACACGTAATCAATGTCTTCATCTAACTATGGATACAAGTCAAATGATAATTTAAAGTGGGCAATCAAATGAGTATTGATAGAGTTTGCATTCAGCATATTGAACTTGTAAAGTACTTCTCTATATAATCTTTCTAACTCAAATACAATCTGCTAACTTTTCTATCCATCAAGATCTCCATATCAAGAATCTTCATTACTGTACCAAAATCTTTCATCCCAAACTCTTATTGAGCTGAACTTTCAACTTTCTGACCTCTACTTTATCTTTGGCTGTTATCAATATGTCATCAACATACAACAGTAGATATATAATTGACCTGTCATCACACTTTCTGAAATACAAACAATTATCATAACTACTTCTGATAAAGTTAAGTAATCGTGAACGGATCGAACCTCTTATACCACTGTCTCGATGACTGCCTCAACCCATACAAGAACTTCTTCAATAAGCACACATTATTTTTCCAGTAACTGAATCTCTGGTTGTTGTATGTAAATTTTCTCCTCAAGCTCTCCAGATAAGAATATTGTCTTGACATCCATCTGCTCAAGCTCCAAATCATCCTTAGCTACAACCCCAAGGAAATTTCAAAATGGGCTATGCTTTTCAACTGGTGAGAACTCGTCTATAAAGTCAACACCTGAAATCTGACCGTAACCCTTTGCTACCAAATGGCCTTGTACTTAGCCTCTTCAACTCTTGATGTACCGTTCATTCTTTTAAACGCCCACTTGTAGCGAACAACTTTCTTTTCCTTAGGTAATTTCACCAAATCCCATGTACTATTTTTATTTAGTTACTCCATCTCCTCATGTATAACAATCAACCATTTGCTAGAATCATTGCAACTAACTATTTCTGTGTATGTAGCAGGCTATTCAATGCATAAGTTACGAAGTCTGCTTCTTCATATTTCTGTAGAGGTCTATTCACTCTACAAGATCTATCATTTGCTAATGAATATTGTGGTGCTACTGGTGGAGGCCAAACAAACAAAGTGTTACTCTCCTTCAGCTCTGAACTAGAATAATCTAAAGCCTCTGATTTCTCTTCTAAAATAATTTCCAACTCCAGTTGAGTATTTTGATTCCATTGCACAGTTTTACCAGAATCTTTACAAGGTAAATTTTGAACCATTACAAGTTCATCAAACACTACATCTCTACTAACCACCACATTTCCCTTCACACCTGATTTATAACCAAGAAAGATGTTATTTATAGACCTTGACTCCAACTTTCCATTATTTGCATGAGTATAAAAGGGCACCCAAATATTTTTAAATGAGAATAACTAAAAGGATCATTAGAATATACCTCTTTTGGTCTTTTCTTAATGACAACTGAGAGTGAGTGATTAATGAGAAAATAAGTTCTAGTAGCAGTTTTATGCAACCCAGCATTTGAAAGCATACAACAAACCTTTTCCCATCAAGGTTTTATTCATTCGTTCTGCCACACATTCTAATGAGGAGTTCCAGCCACTATCAAGTATCTTAAGATCCTTTTTGTCTTGCAGAAGCTATTGAATATATTTGAACAAAAATCAAACCCATTATCTGTGTATAGACATTTTACTTGCGTTCCAGTTTGCTTCTCAATCATTGTTTTCCACTCTTTAAAGATAACATATACACCATTCTTCTATTTCAAAAAGAATAACCAAGTCTTTTAAAATAATTCATCAATCACTGTCAACAAGTAATAAGCATCTCCTTTAGAAGGCTTAATCGTCCATCCCCAAAGATTTCAATGGTTATATTCAAGTGTTTCCTTCATATTGTGTCTCCCTTTGGTAAATCTAACCATT